TCCCCCAAAACATCCCAAAATATCCCCTAAAATATCCCCCAAAACATCCCAAAACATCCCCCAAAACATCCCAAAATATCCCCCAAAACATCCCAAAATATCTCCCAAAACATCCCAAAATATCCCAAAATACCCCCCCAGTCATGCATCAGCCCCGTCCTCCTGCGGGGGCAACCTGGACCTGGTCCGCAAGGTGAGCCCCGAAATACCACAAAATATCCCCCAAAACATCCCCCAAAACATCCCAAAATATCCCACAAAACATCCCAAAATATCCCAAAATACCCCCCCAGTCATGCATCAGCCCCGTCCTCCTGCGGGGGCAACCGAGGTGGCCCCTCACTATTACCAGGCCAAGGAGCTCGAGGACGGCAGCGGCCGCAAAATGCCCAAAAAAGCCGGAAAATCGCGGGAGGAGCTGGGCTGAGCCCGGGGACACCTGGGGACACTTGGGGACACGTGGGGGGACATCAGGGGACACTTGGCACACCCCAATACAGCCCCGGGGCAGAGCCCCGCGCGGGGGACGCCGCTGTCCCCGTGTCACCGCTGGCTCCTTTATTCTGTACATTAATTTAAGGGGGGAGGGGACAGGTGACAAAGGGGACAGCCCGAGGGGGGAGGGGCGCTCAGGTGTCCCCTCCTCGGTGGCTTCAGGGCCGGGCCAGCGCCACCGCCAGCGCCGCGGCCACCAGCAGCTTCTTGGGCTCGGGGACGGCCGTGGGGGCTGGCATCAGCTGGGGAGGGGACACGGGGTCAGGGGACACCGGGGATGTCCCCCGGGTGTCCCCCGGGTGTCCCCAGGGTCCCCAGACTCACCTTGTCCACGCGGTGGCAGCGGATGAGCCCCTGCGAGTTGAGGAAGAAGGTGGAGAGGGCGTCGTAGGACCTGGGGGGACACGGGGGGACTTGGGGACATCGGGGTGGCACCGACCCCCCCGGGGGACGGGGATGGCACGGGGGTGACACACGGGTCACACAGGTGTGACTCAGGGGTGGCACAGGTGGGTCTGGGGGTGACACGGGGGTCACACAGGTGTGACACAGGTGTGTCAGGGGTCACACAGGTGGGTCTGGGGGTGACACAGGGGTCACACAGGTGTGACACAGGTGTGTCAGGGGTCACACAGGTGGGTCTGGGGGTGACACAGGGGTCACACAGGTGTGACACAGGTGTGTCAGGGGTCACACAGGTGGGTCTGGGGGTGACACAGGGGTCACACAGGTGTGACACAGGTGTGTCAGGGGTCACACAGGTGGGTCTGGGGGTGACACAGGGGTCACACAGGTGTGACACAGGTGTGTCAGGGGTCACACAGGTGGGTCTGGGGGTGACACAGGGGTCACACAGGTGTGACACAGGTGTGTCAGGGGTCACACAGGTGGGTCTGGGGGTGACACAGGGGTCACACAGGTGTGACACAGGTGTGTCAGGGGTCACACAGGTGGGTCTGGGGGTGACACAGGGGTCACACAGGTGTGACACAGGTGTGTCAGGGGTCACACAGGTGGGTCTGGGGGTGACACAGGGGTCACACAGGTGTGACACAGGTGTGTCAGGGGTCACACAGGTGGGTCTGGGGGTGACACAGGGGTCACACAGGTGTGACACAGGTGTGTCAGGGGTCACACAGGTGGGTCTGGGGGTGACACAGGGGTCACACAGGTGTGACACAGGTGTGTCAGGGGTCACACAGGTGGGTCTGGGGGTGACACAGGGGTCACACAGGTGTGACACAGGTGTGTCAGGGGTCACACAGGTGGGTCTGGGGGTGACACAGGGGTCACACAGGTGTGACACAGGTGTGTCAGGGGTCACACAGGTGGGTCTGGGGGTGACACAGGGGTCACACAGGTGTGACACAGGTGTGTCAGGGGTCACACAGGTGGGTCTGGGGGTGACACAGGGGTCACACAGGTGTGACACAGGTGTGTCAGGGGTCACACAGGTGGGTCTGGGGGTGACACAGGGGTCACACAGGTGTGACACAGGTGTGTCAGGGGTCACACAGGTGGGTCTGGGGGTGACACAGGGGTCACACAGGTGTGACACAGGTGTGTCAGGGGTCACACAGGTGGGTCTGGGGGTGACACAGGGGTCACACAGGTGTGACACAGGTGTGTCAGGGGTCACACAGGTGGGTCTGGGGGTGACACAGGGGTCACACAGGTGTGACACAGGTGTGTCAGGGGTCACACAGGTGGGTCTGGGGGTGACACAGGGGTCACACAGGTGTGACACAGGTGTGTCAGGGGTCACACAGGTGGGTCTGGGGGTGACACAGGGGTCACACAGGTGTGACACAGGTGTGTCAGGGGTCACACAGGTGGGTCTGGGGGTGACACAGGGGTCACACAGGTGTGACACAGGGGTGGCACAGGTGGGTCTGGGGGTGACACGGGGGTCACACAGGTGTGACACAGGTGTGTCAGGGGTCACACAGGTGGGTCTGGGGGTGACACGGGGGTCACACAGGTGTGACTCAGGTGGCACAGGTGGGTCTGGGGGTGACACGGGGGTCACACAGGTGTGTCACTGAGTGCAGCAGATACCACTTGTCCTGCTGGTAGAAAGGGGTGGCACAAGGGTGGCAGAGGGTGACACAGGTGTCACACAGGTGTGTCCCTCACCTGAGCAGGGTGCGTTTGTCCCGCCGGTACCAGCGCAGCAGCAGCAGGTGCAGGGGCAGCCCCGTCAGGCGCCACCGCGCCCGCACGCTCCAGTCCTCGGGGTGCCGCGTCAGCGCCAGCACCTCCAGCCTCAGGCTGGCAAAGTAACCCCAGGCCAGGGCCCGGCACAGCGCCACGGCCACGGCGTACATGGCACGGCCCCTGGGGACACGGGAGTGTCACTGTCACCCACTGTCACCTCGCTGTGACACCCCGACACTGCCACTGTCACCCACTGTCACTGCCCGGCACAGCGCCACGGCCACGGCGTGCATGGCACGGCCCCTGGGGACACGGGACAGTGTCACTGTCACCCGCTGTCACCTCGCTGTGACACCCTGGCACTGCCAGTGTCACCCATTGTCACCTCCCTGTGTCACCCTCGCACGCCCCAGCACTGTCACCTCCCCAGGGCCACCCTGTGGGGAACAGGGCTGTCCCCAGTGTCCCCAGGGCTGTCCCCAGTGTCACCCACCGCGTGTGCAGGTGCAGGTGCTGGCACTGGAACTCCACGTCGGGGGCGTACAGGGCGTAGTCCGGGATCTTCAGGAAGAAATTGGGGAGCTGGGGGGGACAAGGGACACCGGGCTGCTGTCACCTCCCCCCATGTGCTGTCACCTCCCCCGGCCGCTGTCACCTCCCCCATGTGCTGTCACCTCCCACCAGCTGCTGTCACCTCCCCCCGGCTGCTGTCACCTCCTCCACTCCTGTCCCACCCCCTTTTCCCATCAATCCCCCACAATTTCGTCACCCCCTCCCCGTTCTGTCCCCCCTCCCCATTCTGTCCCCCTTTGGGGTGAATTTTGGGGCGAATTCTGTCAGTTTTTAGGGTGAATCTTGGGGTGAATTGGGGCAGATTTTGGGGTGAATTTTGGGGTGAATTCTGTCAGTTTTTGGGGTGAATTTTGGGGCGAATTCTGTCAGTTTTTAGGGTGAATCTTGGGGTGAATTGGGGCAGATTTTGGGGTGAATTTTGGGGTGAATTCTGTCAGTTTTTGGGGTGAATTTTGGGGCGAATTCTGTCAGTTTTTAGGGTGAATCTTGGGGTGAATTGGGGCAGATTTTGGGGTGAATTTTGGGGTGAATTCTGTCAGTTTTTGGGGTGAATTTTGGGGCGAATTCTGTCAGTTTTTAGGGTGAATCTTGGGGTGAATTGGGGCAGATTTTGGGGTGAATTTTGGGGTGAATTCTGTCAGTTTTTGGGGTGAATTTTGGGGCGAATCCCGGCGCTTTTGGCTCACCTGGGTGCGCGCCGACAGCAGCTGCTGGAACCCCTCGACCTCTTTGCTCTCCTCCACCGCCCGCTCCTGGAAGCCCAAAAATCCCCAAATTTACCCCAAAATCCCCCAAGCTCGGGGGGAAAATTGGGAAAAAATGGAGATTTGGGGAAAAAAGAGGGAGTTTGGTGGAAAATGGGGAATTTGGGGGGAAAAAGGGGGAATTTGGGGCTGGGGGAGTGAGGGAGCGCCCAAGGGTGGGATTGAGTCATTCAGGGGGGGTTTATCCAGTGGGAAAGGGAGTTTTTATCGATTTTGGGGGGATTTGCCCCATTTAAGGAGGATTTATCCCATTTTTGGGGGATTTGCCCCATTTGGTTGCCACCAGGGACTCCTGGCTCCGCCCCCAGCAGGAAGCCCCGCCCCGCATGGACCCGCCTACTATTTGCATAACCACGCCTCGCTAGCGGCAAAAGAGAAACTATTTAAGGTATCTAATTTGCATAGTCACGCCCTGTTAGCGGCAAAGCGAAACTATTTAAGTATGCTGATTTGCATAACCACGCCCCACCTTCACATTCCACGCAAACCCCAATTTGCATGTCCCCGCCCCACCCACCGCTCCCTATTTGCATAACCCCTTCCCAAAAACAACCCGCGCTCAATTTGCATAATCCCGCCCCTCCCCGCCACCCACATCCCCCTCTATTTCCATAACCCCACCCACTCTGCGGCGCTATTTGCATAACCCCGCCCCCTCTCTCTGCCCCCTCAGCGCTCTCCCCTCACCTGCGGCCGCGCTCGGTAGCGGCGGCGCGGCGGGGCCGGCCCGGGAGGCGCCGCGGCGGCTGCCGGAGCCCAGGCGCGGCCGGGCCGGAGGCGGACGGCGGCGGTGACGGTGGCGGTGACGTGCCGGTACATGGCGGCCGCGCTGTCCCCTCGCTGCTCGCTGTCCCCGCTCGGCGCTGCCGCCGCCGCCTCGTTTCTCCCCTCACGCCGGCCGCTCGCTCTGCGCCTGCGCGGCCCGCGCGCGCGCTTCCCCCCCCTCAGCGCAACGCGCCTGCGCCCAGAGCGGGAAGGTGACCTGGAGCCGGCTGCGCATGCGCGGTGGCGCCGCGGCGTTCCCACCCACCCGCAGTTCATTCATGAGGGGAAGAGGGGCGGAGCCAAACGGCGAGAACCAATGGAAAGCGCCGCTCCCACACCCGGAGGCGGAGCTATGACCATATATGGGTAAAGTTGCAGATAAACCACGCCCACACCCGGAAGAGACGCCAGGAAGGAGCCAAAGTCGCCGATTTTATTGAAACGTCCCCAAAAACGAGCGGGGGAGGGGAGGGAAAGGCACCCCCCGGGGCCGGGCGGGGGGAGGGGCACGGACGGGGCACGGAGGAGGCTCCCGGTGGGGCGGGAACCGGTCCCAGTTGGGTTATGGGGCGGGAACTGGTTCCAGTTGAGTCCATGGGGCCCCCAGTCCCCCCAAAGTCCGGGTGGCCCGGCCGGGGGGGTCAGTGGCCATGGGGCTGGCGCGGCGGGGCGGCCGGTACCTGGCGCGGCGCGGGGGCGGCTCCGGGGGGGTCCCCGGGGGGCTCTCCCGGCGCAGCAGGAAGGGCCGCAGGCTGCCCCGCACCGGAGACCCCCGCGACAGGTTAAAGGGCCAGGGGGGCTCGGGCTCCTCCCGCAGGACTGCCGGGGGAGGGGCGTCAGGGCGGGGCCACGCCCGCTGACACGCCCACTGACACACCCACAGCCCCACTGACACACCCACTGACACACCCACTGACACACCCACAGCCTCACTGACACACCCACTGACCACACCCACTGACACACCCACAGCCCCATTGATCACACACACTGCCGGGGGAGGGGCGTCAGGGTGCGGCCACGCCCACTGACACACCCACTGACACACCCACAGCCCCACTGACACACCCACAGCCACACCCACTGACACACCCACAGCCTCACTGACACACCCACAGCCCCACTGACACACCCACTGACACACCCACTGACACACCCACTGACCACACCCACAGCCCCACTGACCACACATTGCCAGGGGAGGGGTGTCAGGGGTGGGGCCACAGACACACCCACTGACCACACCCACTGAACCACACCTATGGCCCCACCCATTGACCGCACCCATGGGAGTGTCCAGTGCCACACCCAGGGCAGCCACACCCTCTGACCACACCCATGGTGGCCACACCCACTGATGGCACATACAGACCACGCCCACTGACGACACCCACGGTGGCCACGCCCATTGACCACGCTTATGGTTGTATCCATGGCCCCACCCCTGACCACACCCACAGCAGCCACACCCACAGACTGCAAATACAGACCACGCCCACTGACCACACCCACGGTGGCCACACCCACTGACTGCAAATACAGACCACGCCCACTGACCACACCCATGGTGGCCACGCCCACTGATTGCAACTACAGACCACGCCCACTGACCACACCCATGGTGGCCACACCCCTGGCCCCGCCCCCGGCCCCGCCCCCGCTCACAGTCGCGCTCGCTCAGCGAGTACGGCTTGATCGGCTCCTCGGGGCGCGGCCGCGGGAACGGGCGCCGGGCTGGGGCTGGGGAAGGACCCAAAATCACCTCAAATTCACCCAAAACGCAGCCAAAAACCACCCCAAAATCACCCCAAAATTCATCTTAAATCCACCCCAGATACACCCAAAATTCATCTCAAATTCATCCCAAATACACCCAAAAACCACCCCAAATTCACCTCAAAAACACCCCAACGTTCATCTCAAATACTCCCACTGACGCACCCACAGCCCCATTGATCACACACACTGCCGGGGGAGGGGCGTCAGGGTGCGGCCACGCCCACTGACACCCCGACACACCCACTGACACCCCCACTGACACACCCACAGCCCCACTGACACACCCACTGACCACACCCACTGACACACCCACAGCCCCACTGACACACAGACACACCCACAGCCCCACTGACACACACACTGACACACACACTGACCACACCCACCGACTACACCCATCACACCCACTGACCACACCCACAGCCCCACTGACCACACATTGCCAGGGGAGGGGTGTCAGGGGTGGGGCCACAGACACACCCACTGACCACACCCACTGAACCACACCTATGGCCCCACCCATTGACCGCACCCATGGGAGTGTCCAGTGCCACACCCAGGGCAGCCACACCCTCTGACCACACCCATGGTGGCCACACCCACTGATGGCACATACAGACCACGCCCACTGACGACACCCACGGTGGCCACGCCCATTGACCACGCTTATGGTTGTATCCATGGCCCCACCCCTGACCACACCCACAGCAGCCACCCCCACAGACTGCAAATACAGACACTGACACACCCACAGCCCCACTGACACACCCACTGACAGCCCCACTGACACACCCACAGCCCCACTGACACACCCACTGACACACCCACAGCCCCACTGACACACCCACTGACACACCCACTGACCACACCCACAGCCCCATTGATCACACACACTGCCGGGGGAGGAGCATCAGGGGCCGGGCCACGGACACGCTCACTGACCACACCCACCGACCACACCCATCACACCCACTGACCACACCCACAGCCCCATTGATCACACATTGCCAGGGGAGGGGTGTCAGGGGCGGGGCCACAGACACACCCACTGACCACACCCACTGAATGTATGGCCCCACCCATTGACCACACCCATGGGAGTGTCCAGTGCCACACCCAGGGCAGCCACACCCTCTGACCACACCCACGATGGCCACACCCACTGACTGCAAATACAGACCACGCCCACTGACCACACCCACGGTGGCCACGCCCATTGACCACGCTTATGGTTGTATCCATGGCCCCACCCCTGACCACACCCACAGCAGCCACACCCACTGCTTGCAACTACAGACCACGCCCACTGACCACACCCACTGAATGTATGGCCCCACCCATTGACCACACCCATGGGAGTGTCCAGTGCCACACCGGAAGGTTCCCAGGGAGAAGAGGAGAATTCCAGCCCAGCTCACCTGTTCTGGTGGAGAAAAATCCTTCAAAAATGACAAAATTGTTCACCTGGAGAAGGAGAAAATCAGGAATTCCATGGAATTGTCATAATTGGACTGTGGTAATTATATAAATTAACATAAAATTAAGGTAAATTAGCATAAAATAAGCAGATAACAAGCAAATATAAAATATAAAGATAAATAAAAAATAAATATGTAAAATACACAGAATACACCAAATTAAAGAAATAAATACAAAATGAAATAAAATCAATCAGCATTAACTATAAATAAATATATCAATAAATACTAAGCTAAGTATAAAATACAAATAGAAATAAAAAATAAACATAAAA